CAATTTTATACTTAATTATTTCCTTCTAAACAAATTACGCGTGTAGCCCTGCTTGCATATATTGAACTAATTTTTAACAAAGAATGAGATGATCAGCATTATTCAAAGCTCACCAAGCTGATGTTCGCGATGACAAGAAATTTAAATCGCCCACCGAAACAATTTATGGTAGATCTCACGAACGACTTTTTGCCTCAAGTAAAATTAACACAAAGCCTAATAACACAATACACCAGCATTGCAGCAAACGCCTGCTCATTCATTTTTTAATACTAGCTGACACGCCAAATTCGTTGCTGAAATTAAAAGCTTAATCTTCGTGTCCACCGCAAACTCTGTGTCACTATGACTAATAGTTTGTAGAAGTTTCGCATCCCAGCTGTGCGCATATAGACGACATATTGCTCTACTTGCATCCATAAGAAGGGGGATCATCGTTACGAGGGGGGCCTAAACCAATATCGTGTTGCCTGCATCTACCTAGCTGCCCGACTTTATATTTTGTGAGCGAGATTCGATATTCTATTTTTATTTTATGTTTGTTTGTTTCACGATAAATAAATGGTGTAGGCTGATCAAATTCATATACAGTCGACCCGGGACCGATCCATCCAATTCAATTATGGAGATAATTACATAAAGAGGTTTAGTAAATACAGGTTCTAGTATATAACAAAGTGAAAGCTACACGGATGGCACTAAAGATATATTGTAAGGGTGGCTTCAATCCAAATCTAAATTAATTGCGTATCTTCGACAGGTAAACAAGCCCGTAACACGGCATACGTCTTTAATATTGATATGACATCTCCCATAAGCTTTAGCTCTTATAAAAAATAGGATAAGACTTCAAAAAAATATTGACAAGGCGTCTTTTTTTGTTCTAAATACCTGGTAGGAGCGACGAGTCGATTAGCGACTACAAAGAAGCACATGTGATGTCCTACTTTACACCGCGAGTGTGAAATATGAGATGCGTATGGCGACATACCTTGGTCTACTTACAACTCTTACACCAATTTATCACTAGAGTCGAGTGCTCACAGTTTAGATTTGTTTAAGTAATTTCGTTCTTGTCAATCAACGTTTATGTGTCTTTTATAATCGTATAGTAGTGCTGAGTGATGATGCGAAAAGTAAAAAAAATGGGTCGAACTTAATTATTACTTTATAGAAGGTCCTTTCGCAGACAAAACGGTGTTTTAATAAGCTGTTCGCTATTATTTACTTGATTGACTTGTAGTTTTAATGCCTCTGCTGTAATTGCCTGCAACATTCTCTAAGTATAATCTGAATGATTCCACCGTTGCATGGCAGGTGCGCTTGATTCTTGATTGGTCGATCTTTGTAGAAGTTAATTTGCCATACAGCATGTTAAGAATATCCGAAGGAGGCTTCAATTCCCAATTTTCTGTTCAACCAGGCTCACAAGCCGACACAGTTCCCGCAAGTACATCAATACGAGGTGTCTTATACGAGCAACTTGTTCGATCAAGTCATGCAGTGCATCGAGCACCTCTTTTTGTAAAAGCGGCTACCGCCTCTCTGAAATATATAATCAGAGAGGCGGTAGCCGCTTATACAAAAAGAGGTGCTCGATGCACTCTACCGAAATTCACACTGCAGCATACTTCATTTTGGCGGGAGCTGATGAGCGCTGCCTTGTCAATACCTAATTTTTTTTATTTAAATTGCTACTTTACCTTTCGCAATACAAAGTATCAATTTCTTGGATTGGAAATACCCTTGTTACTATAATCTGTCAAGCCATGCGTGATCTTCGCCTTTGTACATCTAATTCTGCCGCTTACCTATGTTACAATTTTTTGGTATGTTTAGATTGAGTGATTACCTGGCACATTTTACCCTCTTGTAATAATTCTTTGATGTAATGTACCAACCATTTAATAATTTCATTTCGCGTTCACTGCGCTCGTTTAATGGTCGTTAGTTATAAAATAGAAGGAATGCGTTACAATCAGAGTCAGAATCAACTTTATGAATGAGTAATTTCGAAATTTTAAAAACAGGAAATTACTATCGCATATCAAATTTAGTTTTTTGGTGGACGGTGCATTGTGTATATATAGTCGAAGGTTGCGGAAGATTCTATGACTATATCAGTGAGATTTCTGGGATACATTACACAGCTGGCATTATGTAGGAGGATAATTTGTTCTGTTCTACTTACATTGTCTGCGACAAATGCCACATCTCCAGTTTGTTCTCTGTCCAAATTCGCCTTTCTAACCTTATCCTAAATTTTATTTCAGGTCAAATCCGGCCAAGTGTCTCATTTAGCTCGATGGAACGATGAGCCCCGAAGTCGTCATAGAACTCGGATCCTTTGCTGGTTGAGCTGGTCTCTCAGCTTGTTCTTGAGCTCACATTCACCCCATTACCTCCACTCGCGCCACCATGGATCTCCTCTACCAGCAATAGATATGATGGAAAGGATTCATTACATCTACATGCAGCTAAAGCAGTTGATTAAGGTAGGAGATAAGATCTCGTTCCAGACGGCCATCAACTAGCGCATGGCAGAGATTGGGTCGATTTTGTAAACGTAACTGGTATCACCACCCTCGTCACGATCGATGACATTCCTTGGACGTAGCGGATGTGCTCCTGTATAAATGATATGACAATACCGGCATACATCGACTAAATCTTATATGTTGTAATTGAAGAAAGCAGAGGCGCCTTGAATTTTATATTCCCAGGCAGTCCGTGATTTGCGACGGATTATTGTAAAGCAAAAGAAGATTTAAGATCACTTTTCTCAAATTAATTGTTTATACAACATTAAAAAAAATATTAATTGGTAATAATAGCCGACTAATCCCCCTTTTTGTGTTATCCACATTTGTAATTCTTTTTTCGGAATAAGACACCCGTAATACACGATTTTGCGCTCTTTCGGTTAAATTAACAAGAGGTTGGCCTGATCTTCTTGGAGGGCTAAAGCTTCTTGGGACATTGAAGACGAAATGTTGCCATTTGTCAGATCCATTGGCTTTTTGAGCAAACGCACTATGGATCTTATTCTGCAGATAAGATTAGCACACATTCTGCTTCAGTAAATAATAGTTGTTCAAATGAGCATCCACCATGTATGTTTTCTTGTGCAAATAATTACCTTTCCCGGAAATGTGTATATCAGTATTTTTGAGGTGTAGAACAATCCGGCCCGATTAGTTTTTGGTCAGAACTACTTCCAATGATGTACTTACCGAACTTATTCATGCTTTAGACACCATAAAAAAGCGCTTGGTAGCACAAATGTAAAAATGGGGAAGATCCCTTATTGTAGCCACCAAGTACATCGAGACGCTTCACTATGTTTACAGTTGCGCGGAGCTTGTGACCCTGACAATACATTTCTCCAAGCCATCCACTAGCTAGATTGATGGAGCGGTCAAGAGAAATATTCTATCAGGCTAACGGCTGGCACTTTGCTCTCCACCCGTAATCAATCTGCAGTGTCACTGCCGGAAATGTGTAGTCAAATCATATTCCGGTAAAAGATATTGGATTAGCCGCTGGCACTTCGTGTTTTGCCTTCTTATGTCCATAGTATCTGGATTAGCCCTCTTTATTATCACTTTTATACTTAATGTCTGTGACAGCTTTGAAAAGGCGTATCTCGTTTTTCGCCCGTTAAGCTATCGCCACTTGTTACATTTTTAGGTTATCATCTTTTCCTTACATTTTGCATCCCTGTAAATAGGAATCCAGAATTGCGACATCTTCACCAGTCCTGGTCGTACCATAGCGATCGAAACACCTTTAAACACACTGTAAATTAGCTGAAGAGTTCACTATAAATAAAGCACAGGCGTAACAAGTTGGTGATGTGTCTTACGCGTTCAGTTACAAGTCGAAATAGCTAAGGAGCTTGGGATTTGTGTTATTATTACATTATTGAAAATGAACGATAAAAATGTTTATAGGCGTAACAAATTTATGAGTAGCTTCTAATGTGTGTATCGTCCTCCTACTGTGTTGGCTCTAAATGATTTTTTACTTTTTATCCGCAAACTGTTAAAGCAACGACATTTTTATTATTCAATGCATGTAACATCATAACAAAAAATAAGAGAAGTCAATGCTGGCAGGCAGCGCTGTTAACCTGTACAACAGGATTTGAAGGCTTTACTTTTCTCTTTTTGCTCATAATGCTTCTGGAATTGAGAACACATTGGATGGTTCTGCCACAGCATCCTGATTAAGCTACAAGAGTACTATGAGTGACGCAGACAACGCACTCATAAGGTGTGTACATATTCGTTGCACACAATATCACATACTAAAATCCTGCATACTAATACCCTACCAACATGCATAAACGCAACGCATCACAGAACCCCGACACATTTTACCAATCCAATTTTTGAAAAGGTTTTTGTCTTGTATGGAGGTAAAAGTGGGAATGAACTAGTTCCCTGTAGTTAAATATTATATATTCATCAGCTCGATTTACATGCATACGCAAAAACCGATAAGTCATAATGTAACGGGGTGAACCGTTACATAACAATTTTTAAGAATTTGTTTATAGAATATAACTATAAGAGTTATATTCTCAGAATATTGTCGTTAGGACAACTATTCTGTAGCACTTACGAGTAGTTCCTAATTTGTTGATACTGGCCATTATATCAACCAACGAAGACGCGCCACGACAGACGCACGCAATGAGTGGTGAGCAGATAGTTGATATACACATTTGTATTTAGACATAGTTAGATGAGGATAAATAGTGATTTATTAACAGACATTAACTGTGATAAATACAGTTCTACTTTTTACTTTACCCAAGTACTCGCTTCTCCTTACCGTCTTCCTCTGCACGTACCAGTGTACGTGAGGTTACGAGGCACCGCCTTATTCTGTCGTCAGAATAAGTAGCTTGTACTGTCATCAGTACAAGCTTCAGGGTGCCCCGTTACACCTGGTAGCACTTCGTAGTCCGTCCAAGGACCGCGTTCACATCCAACATGAATATGTTGGATGATGAAGATGACCAAAGCTTTCACGCTACGCGTGACGGCTACTCCCATTTGAGCGATGTCGAATGGAATGCGGTTGAACGGATGGGTTCAACCATGGGCATCCATGCTGTTAGCGTCATGCTAGAGGCTCTCAATAGAGATGCCCAACATGCTACTATCGCCAAGTTCATTCAAAATGAACTTGACGCAGAACGCGAGAAAGTAGCCGTGCTTCACCAACAAGGATCTCAACAATTAGAGTTGTCAAGAGAACAGGTTGCTCAACAGTTTGAACTGTTGAGACAGCAGGAGGCTGCTGCTGGCGGGTCGATGCACTCGCGTCGACCCGAGACTTTGAAGATTGACATCTCTAAGTATAGGGGAGTCGAAGAGGACTCCCTCTTGAGATAATTTGTCGAGTTGGATGACGCCATAAGGGCGCGTCGCATCGACGACGGGGATATGCAAGTTGCATTTGCTCAGTCAAATCTGGCAGAACGTGCCAAGACTTGGGCACTGGGGCTCAATTTGCACGACCCGTATGCGTTTGGGTCGTTGGAAGTCTTCAAGTCGCGGCTCAGATAAACGTTTGAACCGCCTAGAGCTGAGTTCAGAGCTCGAACCGAACTCTTGAAGCTCAAACAAGGTAAGCGTGATGTGCACGCTTACGCCCAACATATACGACATCTCACGAGTTGTATAAGTTCCAATCCGGTGGATGAACACACGTTGGTTTCGGTGTTCATGCAGGGTCTTGCGGATGGTCCCGTCAAGACTCACCTGTTCCGGCTTGAACTAGATTCACTAGAACAAGCCATTTCCATTGCGGAGCAGGAAGACTTCAGTCTGAGACAGGCTCGCGCCAGCTCGACATCATATCGTCAACCGAGACGATATGACAACGGAGGTCCAGAGCCGATGGAACTCTGTTATGTAGAGAGCGAGAAGGCTCGCTCTACAGGCTACGAGAAGTTGCAGAGATGCAACAGATGTCAAAAGACAGGACACTACGCTTACGAGTGTAGTGCCCCTCGTCCAGTGTCTCGCGACACTGGGCGTAGTGACCGTCCACCCATGAGAAAGGGGCAGGGACGAGGGTCCGCAGTTGGTGCAAAGACGCAACAACGGGATGGACCGTCAAAAAACGGACAGGATCAGTAGGTGCGGAGCACCCTACTGATCCAGCAACGTCAAGAGAATTTGTAGGCCTCTTGATGAAGGTTGCTCCCAACACACAAGACATTGTGCGTTGCTGCTCTAGGTAATGAGGTCTCACCCATTACCTCGAAACTCGAAGTGACGAATAAGTTGTCCCTTCGAGCTCTAGTCGATTGTGGGGCGTCCAACAATTTTGTGCGACGCCAATCGCTAGAAGATGGTCACTTTAAATTCAGTGAATGTGACACACCTCCTACGAGGATGACGGTACGTCTTGCGACAGGCGCATCCGTAACCGTCATGAAGCGTATAGTGAAGATCCACTATACGCTAGAAGATACCCAATATGACGATGACTTCATCGTATTGGATTTGGATGACAAATTTGATGTCATCCTTGGAATACCGTGGCTCAGAAGGTACGAACCACGGGTAAACTGGCAACATCGGACAGCAACGATGCCTGCCGCTTGTTCATCAGATGGCCATCTGATGAACGTTTTGGAGCGTCCACAAGCGTGTGGATGTACTACGAGTGAGTGCGATGGCCTCACTTGTGGTACGGTCGTTAGTACGACTGCACAAAATCTTAGTGTACCAAACGGTTACACTTCGGAGCAAGATTCCGGCGGCTGTGAGGAAACACAGGCTGCGTCGAAGGTCCACCACTCGAATAAGTCGAGTGGACCGGGACAAAGATGTATCCCTAGCGGGGAACATCTAGAAGAGAAACAATCGATCGCTCAGGTTAAGCGAAACGATAATCCTAGATCGACTGTAGAGTCTTTCTTAGAGGATCTCGCTGTGGTTGCGCAACCAAAGCTAGAGGAATTCAAGGGAATAAGTCCCGATATTACAAATACGGCGGAAATAAGTTCCCCGAAAACCGCGGGAATAAGTCCCCTGGAAGCCGGAGGAATAAGTCCTTCGAAGCCTGAGGGAATAAGTCCCCAGGAAATGACAGAGACATTGAATGTCATAGTCAATAACGGATCAAGTGTAGGCGCTTATACACTTCATCTGATTGCGCCACCGAAGTTGACTTCGGAGATCACTCAGTTGCTAACGCTCGAACATAAAAGGTTCTTGCGTGATCTGCGTAGTGGCAAAGTCAAGCAGATCTGCGTACTCGTCGCTGACGACGAGTGTTTAGCCGACATAAGGTCAGCAACAGTGTTTACTGAGAACGAGAGAGTTCTCAGTAGTTCATCTATGGACGAGAGTGTCCTAGATAAAAAGACACGAGTTAAGCAATATGACTCCCAATCGTGGGAATCGCTCATGACAATTCCTATCTATGAAGATTTGGTTAAGTTCAAGGATGTATTCCCTGAAACTGTTCCGTGCTAGTTACCGAAGGATAAAGGTATTCGACACGAGGTCAAGCTTAAACCAGGCTCGAAGTACCGTGTCATGAAGCAGTGGCCACTGCCTCGTGAACAAGTACTTGCGATCGACAAGTTCTTTGCCGATCGTTTAGCTGCGGGCCATGTGAGTGAATCAACTTCCCCACATAGCTCTCCGACCTTCTGTGTGCGAAAAGCAACAGGAGGGTGGCGGATAGTGCAAGCATTCAACAAGTTGGATACTGCAACGGTACTGGCTCAGACGCCGATACCGAGGAAGGACGTAATCACTGATGGTATGTCAAAGAGTACCATCTTTTCGTCCATGGATTTGATGGATGGCTTCTATCGAATCCTTATGCGATAAAAGGATATACCCTGTACCGCAGTTAGCACGCCTAGCGGCATACTCTGGGAGTGGCTAGTAATGCCACAAGGGCTTAGTAATGCCCCAGCCACGTTCAACAGATGTGAATCACATCTGTTGAGACCAGTACGAGAATTCGCGCCGAGTTATTTCGATGACGTATTCATCCATAGTCGGGCTATGGATGGAAAGTCGGACGTTGAGGTTCACAGGTACCACGTCCGACAGGTTCTTACAATCATGCGAAAGCATCAATTGTATGCTAACCTCAAGAAGTGTATATCTGCAGCAAGCGAAATACCACTTCTTGGGTGCATCGTTGGTAAAAACGGTGTACGTCCTGATCCCGAAAAGATCAAGGCGATCACCGACTGGCCTGTGCCGGTTGGTGTCAAAGGTCTTCGGAAATTCCTTGGGCTAGCGGCGTATTTGCATAAGTATTCACGCAATTACGCCGAGATGACTGTACACCTCTCTCGTTTGTTGAAAAAGAACGAGAGGTGGTTATGGAACGCTGATTGTCAGCGCTCCTTTGATGGTATCAAGCAGAGCTTGACACAATCCCCAGTCCTAGCAATAGCCGATCAGGACAGGCCATTTCATGTGGTCTGTGATGCCAGCGATTTCGCAATCGGCTGTGCATTAATGCAGTACGATTTTGAAGGCGTTGAACGCGTCGTCTGCTATCAGTCGCGTCAGCTGCAACCAGCTGAGCGGAACTATTCAGTGCATGACAAGGAACTCCTTGCCATGAAGTATGCACTCGCGAAGTTCAGAGTCTATCTATTCGGAGATAGACCCTTCATTGTTTACACTGACCATGCGTCATTACGCACGGCAGTGAACAGCCCGCACCTTTCACAACGAATGGCGCGGTGGTTGTCATTCTTTGCAGAATACAACTTTACGGTCGAGTACAAACCAGGGCGACTTAATGTCGTCGCTGATGCACTCTCACGTCGTCCCGACTTTGAACCAGTCGTGAAACCCAACAGTGAGACAGTCACTGTTGCGGTTATGACGTCCTCAGTCCCATCTACAACGTTGTATGATGAAGTGAGGCGGGCGTATGCCCAAGATGGTGAGATAGTGAAGTTGTTGACACATCTCTCCCAACCATCTCGAGAATCGTTGAAACGATTATCGTCTGCGTATCTATCTGCATCGGATCGATACACTACTCGTAACGGTTTACTGTAATATACAGCCGTTACTGGTGACACACCACGTGTTGTCATTCCAGATGATACTGATCTGCTTTTGCGGATCATGTTCGAGTATCACGATGCTCCTATAGGAGGACATCGTGGCCGAGAGAAAACATATCTCACGGTGAGTCGAGACTTTTACTGGCCCCGCCAGTATCAGTTTGTGCGAAAGTATGTTCGCGCATGCGAAGTCTGTCAACGAGTGAAGTCAAGTCCTTCACTGCGTGCACCTTTACAGCCTCTACCGGTTCCGGCTGAGTGCTGGGAATCCATCTCAATGGATTTCGTCTTCGGGTTACCCAAAGACGCACGCGGGAATACGGGTATTCTCGTATTTGTTGACAGATTCAGCAAAATGGTACACCTTGTGGCTGTACCAGAAACAATCACGGCAAGTGGCTGTGCTTGTGTCTTTATTGACACCATCTTCCGACTTCATGGGTTGCCCCGTGAACTCGTATCAGACAGAGATCCACGATTCACTGCTGATTTCTGGCGTTCCGTGTTCAAATCACTCGGAACGCGCTTGAAGATGTCGACATCTGATCATCCAGAGTCAGATGGTCGGACGGAACGTGCCAATCGTGTCCTTGAAGAGATACTTCGAGGATACGTACACACCTTCAAGAGTTGGAGTGAGTTTTTGCCAATGGCAGGGTTTTCCATTAACAACTCGGTGCATGCGTCCACGACACATACACCGTTTTACGTGAATGGCTTCCGCCATCCGCGTGTACCCACCTTACTAGAGTGTAACTCTGGTTTAAGGGGGGGAGGGACTCGCGCGAGGAAAAACCAACTTGGTTCATGCTCATCACGCTCTGACGAAGAGGTCATTGCGTATGATGCCAATATCGATAACATCGATTTCGAAGAAGATGATGCCAGTGAGAGTGCGGAAGCCCTCACTGAAGAAAATGTTGATGTTGCTGCAGTGCACTCACAGCGCACTGAAGCTAACGAGTCATCAGATGAGTTCATACTGGCTCGTGGAACGGTAGTCCGTTTTGTGCAAGACTCCATCGCCGAAGCGGTGGATAAGCAAAAGCAAAACGCTGACAAGAATGGAAGAGCAAGCACTCTTTTTTTAATGAAGGTGACTTACTCCTACTGTCTACGGTTAATCTACCAAAGCAGGTAGTGACTAACTTGGGTAGCAGTAAACTACTACCCAAGTACATCGGCCCATTTCGTGTATTGCACCGCCTAGGCAATGCATACACGATCGAACTGCCACGTAAGATGCGAACGCATCCTATGTTTTACGTTGGTCGGATTAAGCCGTACCATCAGTACGCTGTTTTTCCGATGAAGAACGCCCTTGCGTTCAAGCATCTCACAGAGGGCCTTGTGCTCCCGATGGTGGATATCGACAAGGGTCTGAAGAGCAGTTATTTCAGCCTGAGACAGGTCAATATCCACACGAGCTACACTTAGCTCTTCACGCAGATATGTCAAAGCTCTCTCGTTCTCAAGCTGAGCAAAGGCAAACTCAGCTCGATGCTTCAAGACAGTGTCCGCCGGTTGAAGACGCCTGTCCCGCTCAAGCTCGAGGTCGCCGCGCAACGTAAGCGTTACGCGATCAAAGAAGCTCTCGGAGACACACGCTCCCCCACGATAGTTTGGAGAGAGTTTTCCCTCCTCCTCCACCTCCATTAGAGGACTCTCGAGGTGGCCAGTGCTTTCTGAATGAGCATCTGTTGAGCCACCGCGATGTGAACGGACGTCGGACGAGTTACATCGTCCGGTGGCGCGGCTATCCCCCGTCCTGGGATACTTGGGAGCCCCGCTTCTAACTGATGATTGACGTACTGGGTCTGGTTGAGCAGTACGACGCGGCACATCCTGTGCCGCAGAAGGACCGCCGGAGAAAGTCTTCTTGGCACGTTCGTAAAGGGATTTGAGGTTGTCAATCCCTTCGTACATCTCAGTAGAGATACATATACGCGCCACCACGGGCTAGTAAGGAGGTAAGCCTCCTTAGGTGTGCGCGCTGAGTTGTTTACACAACGAGGGCACGGGTCTCCCTAAAAAAGACAGGGTAACCCACTCTCCCTAGAAAGACGATGCAGCTTATAGTGTGCACCTGTTAGTGTTCTCTTCTATAACTTATCACGAGTTTTGATAAGTTTGTCGTTCCAAACGTCACGACCTACATCCTCAAGGTTATGGATGTAAGCGTTCCACGCTTGAAGCAGTGAGGAACCATCACGTTTGTGATTCCCACTATACCATCGATGCGTAAAGAAAGCATCGATGAAGAATTCGTTTTCAGCGCGATAGTTTTTCGCGCTGGGGTCAAGGTGATGGATCCTTGACGAATCGAACAATCGTGTTCGATAGCGATCACTCGTCGTCGCCGACAAGTGATCCATGACGGACTTTGGAGGCAGCCATGATTTCTTCTCGGGAGCGAGACGCAACACACTGCGGTCCCGCTCTTCCTACGACGTGCCGACAGAAGTACTGGCACCTCGCTGTGAAGTGGTGTCCATAGGAGAACCGATACCAGTGCTAGCGCCCGAGTCTCGCGACCTCGAGCGCCTTCGCTTCGGCGATGGTTCGTCTGATTCATCAGATGAACCAAAGATGCTGCGACGCAAAGCATCGTCCATGCCACGCTTGGCAGGCGGCTTGGATTCGATCGCCGTCGATACGGATCCGTCTTCCGTATCAGGAGAGTACGAGACACCGAGCTCGTACTCTGTGAAGACATGAGTGTCTTCATGACGAGCATCTGCATCACCAGGTGACACAGACTGAGACGCTTTAGCAACCTATGACACATCGGTTGCAGCGGTTTCTGCTTCGGCGTCCGCACAGAGACGCGCAGACGCGCTCTCAGCGGCCTTGTTCGCGCACCGCATGGACTTGTTTACCATGCGATGAAACTGATGGACTGTGGACTCGGATTAACAAGTGCAAACCCCGTCCTAAATGATATGGGACGAGTATCCATTTAGTCAATCAGTCACTAAAGTGACCGATGGTTAGGGGGGGGGTGATGTAACGGGGTGAATCGTTACATAACAATTTATAAGAATTTGTTTATGGAATATAACTATAAGAGTTATATTCTCAGAATATTGTCGTAAGGACAACTATTCTGTAGCACTTACGAGTAGTTCCTAATTTGTTGATACTGGCCATTATATCAACCAACGAAGACGCGCCACGACAGACGCACGCAATGAGTGGTGAGCAGATAGTTGATATACACATTTGTATTTAGACATAGTTAGATGAGGATAAATAGTGATTTATTAACAGACATTAACTGTGATAAATACAGTTCTACTTTTTACTTTACCCAAGTACTCGCTTCTCCTTACCGTCTTCCTCTGCACGTACCAGTGTACGTGAGGTTACGAGGCACCGCCTCATTCTGTCATCAGAATAAGTAGCTTGTACTGTCATCAGTACAAGCTTGAGGGTGCACCGTTACACCGATGCAGAACTTGGCATCCAAGCAAAAAGTACACTTACAAAGGTGGTCAAAATTTATGTTGAAACGGTCCTTCGGCTTCTGGTGGTCCTAAATTGAGTCAAAGTGCCTCCCCTAGGTACTTTGTAAAATGAACTTGTAGCTAGGCGGAAAAGTATTCTCGCTACTGAAGCGTAATTGGTCGTTACAACACGGAATATCCGTCTTTCTTGGATTTTGCTCATGTCAGCGAGCCTAGTAAGGTTTTTGTTGTTGTGCCAGCCCGGCTGTAGTGCACAAAAGACCCCGTTAACAACTGACAAAATTTTAGGTCAAACACCGTATCTCTTGAGTGTATGAGAAAGCATTATTTGTGACTTTTGACGTGTAATTTTCGGTAGCTTTTTAAAGTTACCGAGCTGATTTAACCAGCAAAACGATTCAGATGCGACTACGCCCTTGTGCGTTCGGCGTGCAAGCTTAAATGTAGTTATCAAGGGAAAATATTTTACAATCATGTTGATTAGTGACAACGATAACTTCGATCAAAGTAAACAAAGATTGATGCGAAATCCACTGTAGCTAGCTTTTTATTGACTCGTGTCTTTCACCACTTTCTTTACGTAGTCTATCATAGGTTGTACTCGTATGCCTTTGTCATAAGAATGGACATGCTGCAGTTTTTTATCACTGTTGGGACTCGGTATGAATACATGATTAAGAGCTTCTGTTTGTCTACGAGCTAGCTGCATCCAAGGAAAAAAAACAGGTACGTGGCTCCAAAAAGATCCTGTCGTGACCATCCTGCTTTACCCTTTATCAGGATTTGCTCGCTTCTATTGAAGCATATAACTGTCTTGTTGTGTGTGTACGTGTAGATACAACTGCACCTTTATTTGTAAGCTTTTAAAGCGTTAATAGCTCGAAAAAGAATACAATAGCGGCAGGACGTATTCTTTCACGCCGACTTCGCCGAATAGCAGTCCAGTATCCCAAAACTACCTTGACGCCATAAACATCATCATATGATTCATAGACATCGCAAGTGATGCCGCAGAGTAGGCCGCAGTACGCCAAAGATGTGTTCGTCGAGCCATTTATATGGATTTGGCATAATTACCAGGCTCGGTGGGAGATGCACATATGGAGGCTGTGTGGCGGACGGCGAGCGCGAGCACGAAAAGGTGGTGGTGGCTGCATTATCCTGAGCTGTTAGAATCGTTGTGGTTAATTGGTAAGAAAACCTTTTTTGCCCGAATAAAACAGAGAATAAACATGTAATTAATAGTTTTTTTAGGTACTTTATAAAAAGCGCCTTTTATAAAATGTTTCTTCGATCAAGATATCAAGTAGCAGTTCAAAAGCCGCTCAATTTGCTTTTAGAAACGCGCTCTTAGGCTACGAGGGAGAATTCTTATCAAAACAAAAAGATCTTGTTGTAGCGCGCCTTTATATCATTCGACAGTACAAAACTACTGACCACAAGATGTACCTACTAAGGTGCGCAAACCGTTACAAGACTGATCGTCTTATACGTATTTAACTGTTTAACAGATAATTGCTTAGCCCGACCTAAAACTAGGTTGGGCTAAGCAATCATATGTTGAATAGTTACAACTTGTAACTGATACTAAATCAAAATACAGGTGTGATATTAGTATTTCGAATTCTAGGTGATTTTGTCAAAGGAGTCTATAAAATAAACGTAAAAAAACCAAATGCTGCTATTACACCACCCATCTTATTTAGAGAAATCTTATATTTTGAACATATAAGGTATTAAATACTATTCTGGTACAACAAGTTTGGTGGCTTTAAAAAAATAACCTTTAATATAATTACCAAAATGTGTAAAAGTATTAGGATCACAAAAGAAATATATCATAAAACATCAAAGTAAAAATTATTAACAAACTAATATTGCTGAAGAAAAACGGATAAGGGTTATTTTTAAACGTACTGTCTAATGGATTGTTTCAAACATTTACATTTATAAATCGAATAATTAAGACTTTACCTTCAGTTACTGAAGGAAAAATAAAATGTAAACAAAATCGAATTAATGTCGGATTATTTGCAGCAAAATTACTTAAACCGAGGACTTTAAAGCTAGCACCCTTCAGTAGCGGATAAAAAACACTTCTTATGCATCATACAATGGCTTGTGTTTAATTTGAATATCATCCGGCATAAAGTATGGTCAATCGCGCCTCTTCGAAGTCACTACTTACGGCGAGCAATGCTATGTATAAGGTACTAGCGATCAACTGATATCTGTTATCAAAGAGAAAGGTCATGCTTTAACATGAGATCGTTGATAATGTGACAAACTTAATCTGCTTCCCGCACCTAAATTATTCATCACTGTGATCCATGCAGTTATTCTTTAGATAGGAGTTTTGTTGTCCTTGAGTGAAGATCTTGACTCAGCTTGTCGTGTAACACTCATCAACATGTCCTGAGGGCTCCTCATGCTAAACGCCCCTATAATAAACGTATCAGTGATAAGAAATTGAACTGAGCGCTACGCATATATAAGCTGTGTCGAGGGACGCCCGCAGCTAGCTATCGTAATGCTATACGTATACTTTACGTAAAAGAATCTATTTGTCTCATCTAAATGTACTTTTTTAGATTTATAGTATACCTGTAGCATATCTTTTTACCTTTAATTCTTAGATATATTGTTTCAAATTCTTATTTTGTAATATATTTTGGTGCTTTCCGCTTGAAAAATAATATATTATCTCAAATTTATTATTTTATCATGTGTTAAATATCGTCATTTCCTTTCTTAATGGCAAATATTAGCTCCAACGACTGCACATGCTAGCTTCAACAGTTGGAGCTCGTGGCAGTAATATCGTCCACATCTTACGAAATAGCTGTCTCGTACATAAAACACAATTCAAACCACGGGATACGGACACACAAAACATTACAACTGACAGGAACGGAGATCAGATTGCATGATCGTCAAGTGAACACGATCCACAGGATAGACTAAATGAGTGTCTTCCTTTGACGTGGAATACTTTGCAATTTACCCATAGAAACGTTTATTGTTCCTTCCAATCTGTATCATCACCAGCACTAGCAACATTAGTCGCAACAGCTGCCTACCATCGAACAAGCTACTTCGTAGATGTCAAAGCTTGATATCCACAAAATAACAGCACTCTCAAGTAACAAACGTCCCCATGTTTAGTTCTTGCGACCAGCAGCAACGGCCTTCTTGACAAGAGAACTCTTCTGCTTGCGAGCAATCATGGCTTTAAAGCGGTCAAAGTCATTAAGCTCAGCGCGAGTCTTCTTATTCTGAAGCTTCTTGGCCCACGTTGAGCTCTCCCACTTGGCAAGCGTGTCAGCCTTGACCAGCGCCTTCTTGAGCGTCTTCTCGCGCGCCTGACGTGGGATCTCCACCGTCAGATCCGTCAGCGATAGTCGCTTGAAGTTGATCATATGACGGCGAACACCCGTGACACAGAATGGACCATCGACGAGTGCCTTGTTCTCGTCCACGACGTCGATGATAGTCGCAATCTTGCCGGCGTCTGGGCCGTAGTTAATGAGCACGACGCGGCCGATGGAAACGAAACGGGTAAAAGTCTGTATTTATTCACAAACAAGGTCAGATGTGGATCACGGATTCATGCAGCTTCGAGAGAGAGCACAGGTCCGAGAAGGCACTCAACGCACCATTGTTGCTACAGAAGAGGAACGCCAAACAAACTAATAGACCGAGCCTCGGGTCCTCAGGCTTTTCGCCCTCCAGTCATCCCAACCCTACTCCTCCTATTGCCTCTCCACCAATCGTTTTTCAGCTCTAGTCATTAAATACTCGCTGATCATTCGTGCAAACTCGTGTCGTCCCAAACGCGCTTGAGATTGGACAAAACTAGCCCCACCCCCTCGTTCAGTATCCAATCCCATGAAGGCCTCTCTGTATCCGAACAAGCAGCATCCACAACCAACCAAAAGAGGGCGACGAGTCATAGGGCCTCCTATTCCGACGACAAAACCTAGACGTCTTCAGTTTGGAACCTTTCATCTACAGCCAACCATGCCGTTTGTCAAGGTTTTGAAAAACAAGGCGTACTTCAAGCGGTACCAGGTCAAGTATCGTCGTCGTCGCGAAGGCAAGACGGACTACCGTGCCCGCAAGCGTCTCATTTCGCAGGACAAGAACAAGTACAACTCGCCCAAGTATCGTCTCGTGGTGCGTATCACGAACAAGCACGTGATCTGCCAGATCGCGTACGCTGAAATTGATGGCGACAAGATTCTGGCCCAAGCCACGTCGGCTGAACTTCCGCGTTACGGGCTGACGGTCGGACTCAAGAACTACGCAGCTGCGTATGCCACGGGCTTGCTCGTTGGCCGTCGTTTGCTGCAGAAGCTTGGCTTGGACGAAGATTACGAGGGCAATACGGAAGTGGATGGCGAGATTGTCAAGACAGAAAGCAATGGCCGCACGTACTTTGTCGAGGAAGTGGCGGACGAGAAGCGTCCGTTCCGCTGCTACTTGGACTGTGGCCTTCGCACTACCACCACGGGCCACCGTGTGTTTGGCGCACTTAAGGGCGCTGCCGATGCCGGACTTGACATCCCGCATAGTGAAAAGCGATTCCCAGGCTACAGTCGCGACGACAAGAGCTACGACGCCGAGGTGCACCGTGACCGTATCTTTGCTGTGCACATTTCGGACCACATGAAGGAGCTCGAAGAGGACGACCCGGAGATGCTTGCCTCGCACTACGCTGAGTATGTGAAGGCAGGCATCAAGCCGGACGACCTCGAGGATGTGATCACCAAGGTTCACGAAGCTATTCGCGCTGACCCGTCGCCGGCTCCGAAGAAGGAGCACACCTTTGACAAGAAGTACAAACGTCCAGCCAAGCGCTCGCGCCAGCAGCGTCAAGCTCGTGTTGCTCAAAAGAAAGCTCACGCTGCTTCGAAGAAAGAGTAAAGAGTGTCTTTGTTCAATCTAGTGAACAACCCACTGGAGTAGTGCAGTGCGCGGTCTAACGATGAATGAGAGTATCCAAACACCATGCTGTAGCATCTTTATCTTTCGCTTTGATGTCCAAGTCGTACTGACAGCTCCATTCGTTTAACTTTAGTATCGCGAACTTACCCTGGGATTTTAACATCTCTTTTAACAGCCGATACAAACGACGACGGCGCTTTCGCTCCTGGCAAGCAACCCACGTTGTAAAACGTCGATCGCACTCGGAGTCGCACTTATCCGAGTCTCCACTGTACACACCTCAAATGGCCACTGTCGAAATGACGTTTTCGATGAGACTCACGTTGGACGAGAAGGATCCGAAGAAGGTGTCCGTGGCGCCCGTTGCGCCCCGTAAGAAGCAGTACGGACTTGTGCTGCCTAAGAGCAAAGCCAAAAAGACGGTAAGTCACTGACTGGCTACTAGGTTTTTACTGTAATTACGTGCGAAAGGCTCAGTTGATAACCTTGGTCCTGTATGGATGCACCTACCAGGAACTTGTCTCTGCGTGTAGTGCGTTTACCGAAGCAGCCGAGTCCAGTCGCCAGCAAAAGACAAGGGAAGGTGAACAAAGTGTCAGAACTCGAGTAGGGGCTGAAGCTGCCCGCAGTCTGCAGCAAAGCCAAGTCGATCAAGTGCGGGCTCAAGCTCTCGCGGAAGACGCGTCGGTCTTTGACTATGATGGGGTCTACGATGATATGAAGAAAGAGAGGGAGAGAGAAGCTCGGAACCGGAAGACTCAGCGAACGGCTGACAAGGAAAAGCCCAAGTACATTGGTACACTCTTGCAACAAGCCAAAATTCGAGAAGTAGAGAACCAACGAATTCGGGAGCGACGACTGCTACACGAGCGACAAGCCGACGATGCGCTCTACGGTGACAAGGAGAAGCTCGTATCTGTATCCTACAAACGAAAGTTGCAGGAGATGCAGAATTGGGACGCGGAGGATGCTCGTCTCGCTGCGTTGGAGGAGCGAGAGGATGTCACGAAACAGGGCGAGCATGCAATGGCAGGTTTCTACGCCAATCTGAACAAGAACATTGCAATGGGTGGGACGACAACGAACGCTCGTAGCGCTTATACTGTGAAAGAAGCTCGAAGTGCATCGTTGCTTCGTGAAGAACCAATTCGAGCCAAGCGAGGACTTGGACGTGATGATGAGCACGACAGCGAATCCGTAGAGACGAGTTACGAAGTCGTGACTGAGAAAGTGAGCAGCGGAAATTCACTTGACGAAAATCATACTGTGTCTACTTGCGACACGTTGTTTCGGCAGGAGGAGGCTAATGCCACGACTGACATTCGACCGCCGCCACCTTGCATCCTGGACGAGGCGAAACCAAGCAAGGAGGACGCTATTTCTGCCGCAAAAGCACGCTTTCTGGCCCGAAAGGCGCAGCGAAAGTCGTCGAGCAGTCAACATTGACTTTGTACCCAAGATGAATGAGAAGCGAGTCAACGCGATCGATTGATGGAGATACGTTTGATATGCAGATGCTAATGATGTGGGTTTCCATCTAATCATACGTCGGTACAAGCCTCCTACGTATGCATCAAATAAATATCAAACGTATATTTTGGCTTCTTGAAGTTGTTAATGGACTGACTGCGATAAGTGTTGTAGCCCAAGCAGTGACGTTGCCGCGAGCAGCTCTAGCTCTCGAAATTGAGGAAACAATCGTCCATCGTGCGAGCTGCTACCCACTTTCGAGCGCGCGTTGCTTGCAGAAGCTCCAGCACTCCTTCTGCGCTTACTTTCGTGCTTCCTCTCATCCGCACCATTCAGCAAGACTTTGCAAGGCGAGGTGTATGCTCCCATCGCCGCCCACGAGCGCTTGCGAGGCGAACTCGATGGGCTTGGCACAGGAGACTGCGACACTAGCTCGTGAAGATTGGCTGGCACCTCGAGCTTATTGCCACGCGGGCCGCCCCGTCCTGTAGACAAAAAGTTCTTGACTTCAACTCCAGATTGGCGAAGCACGGGCTGCCACAGCCGTTTCCGGGCATTTGTAAACCAATTGGACAGCTGCTTGACCTCGATACCAGCTTCAGTTGCCAGCTCCTCCTTTTCTTCTTCACTCGGGTACGGATGCGCAAAATGTTCGGGGGAAAACATCCAAGCTTTCAGCACGTTCTTGGCTTCTGGGTGCAGCGTCCCTCGTCGCGTCCCCTTCTTGCGTCGTTGTCGGGTGCTCTTCTCAACAAGCTCATCTTCGTCCGCACTACTTGCCGCAGGAGTCGACGCGGTCTCCAGCTCGTCAAACGGCGTGCTCGAGAACGATGGCAACCGCAGCTCCCGACCAGGGGCGCGCTGCACTGACATGGCGAATTGAAGCCCCGGTAGCGGATTCTTGGCCGGATTCGGCGAGGTCACTGGAACGGCTTTGCCGGTCAGCACGGGCGACGCCAGCGCAAAGTCTTCAGCTGATGGTAGGCACACGGACGACGACGGTCCTCGTGCCTGTGGTTTCCTTGGTGAGTCCGAAGCGGTCAACAGTCGCATGGCCACTCGGCGCGCAGAACTTGTCGGGTCCATTTGATACGAGACGAGCGAGGCAATGCCGGGCGACCTGGTAAATCGCGGAATGAGGACTCGAGACGGGCAGCAACTTGCCTTTGACACAAGGTGCTCAATATCCACGACACTCACTGTCCACGATAGTTCCGATTACGAGACCGACGACGGGCCGCAGAAAGTCGCCAAGCGAATCAGCGCGCAACGTGCGACGCGGCGTTTCGAAGAGAGACAGGGGATACGATGTCGCCTCGCCTGACGTCGAAGCTACAGAAAGGGCCGAGCTGACCTGCTAGTGAGAGAATGCGTCGTGAGGTTGTCGCCACGAAACGCTGCAATTTTCGCTGTTGTGGCTGTTGTTGTGGTTGCTGTGGTTGCTGTTGCTGCTCTTGTTCTGCTTCTTTCGACGCTGTCTATGGAGACAGAGAGTTTGAACGTGCACTGCCACTTTGTGGTGAGGAAGGAAGCGACGTGTGCAGGTTGCTGTCGATTGCAAAGTGACAAGCAGCAGAAGCGATTGTGTTTTCGGTTGCGATCAAGCGTTTCTAGATCGTGTCAGTTTCTCTCTCTCTCTCTCTTTTTATCTCTCCTGACGCCAGCTCTGAAAGGCGAGACAACCACCTGGTCAGATCTGCACGTCCCTTGGCGACGCCGCGACAAGAGCGACGCTTTTGGCCCGGTTTTGGGCGTAACGTCTACTAAGATGGAGGAGGTTGGTCTGCACCTAATTGTGACCCGCGTCTGTTCGCAGACAAAAGGCCGACAAAAAAAGACCCATGATCTCCGCGACAGTGAACAGTTCGATGCTAGCTAGTACTAAAACATGCCTTTGCATGCACAACCTAAGACAGCAGCAGCAAGAGCGAGGCGCTATTTGTTGCCAGCGCTTACATGAACACCTTTCTGCGCTCGCACTTGATACGCATTGCCGTTTGCCTGTCATCGCACTGGCTTTCGGGCCGTTACGAGGTCGCGCAACAGGCGGTTGGCAATCGCAGATGCCCATCAAGTTGCCCGTGTCTCTGTTCAGGCAGAAACGGACGAGGTCGTGAAAGGGCGTCGACGACTCGCTGACTAGGATCTACGCTGGGCGGAAGCCCCCAAGGCACTAAACTGATTGGGCGCTAGAAACAGAAGAATCAAAAGTCGAGTCGCGTTTGCACTGGACACATGTGAGCGCCAGCGTACAAATTGATTCGCGAAGCGATTCAAAAGGTACCGACTCGAGTGTGTTTGCGTGGTGTCAGTATGCGTTTACGAGCTAGGATGGATCGACACACGCACATGGTGACACGTCCCGGTCATATTCGTGTTTTCCACAAGTGCGCAGTAAGTCATGTAGCAGCTACCGGATACTACACTCGCACTTACTGATGACAATCTGCAGCGTGTTGAGCAAAACAATGCAAGGGTCGATTCACCCATTGCCTCGAATTCCTTTCCTTTTTTACAAAGTAAGTCATCGGTTACCACTATGAAGATGATGGCTTGGAGTTCGGCGCTTGATCTACATGCTGCTAGTTAGTGACTTTGGGCAGCAACAACTTGCGACTGCATCATTTCTCATTCAACTTTAAACGCTGATTTTTGGTAGGACCCGGGACAGCAAACGACGAGCAGCACTTTGTGGCAAATACGAGCACACGATTTGCAACGGTTTAGCCAGACGCGGCAATCTCGCAGAGTCGCAAGCTGCACGTCAACTTCATATATCGTACTCGCCTCAAAACAGTTGCCGACGTAGAGGAAAGCTGTAGAACGGAGCATGCGCACGAGTAGAATCGGGAGCTGCATAAGATTAGTACATGTTTGTAGCCTAGTGTTTGAGCTCAACATCGTAAGAGAGTGCAGAAATTATGATGAGTTACCACAAGTGTCCGAGAGTGTGTGCGAGTCGTATGGTCGTGCACAGAGCCTGTTCGTGTTCATGATCAAACATGCAGGTGAGCAGACGAGCGAACTGTTTTACAAGGATTTACCGATGTCATGTGCACCAGTAGGTCAAGTACACGCAACGCCAATGTTAAGGAGCATAGTCTTAGGCAAAAGAGCGAATGGGTGTCGATTAGACAGATTACTGCCAGGCTATTGCAGCTGTCGTCAAGTAACTCAATGCTGCAAAGTCCTCTCTATCCGGCTATGTCTGTTCTAAGAAGTTTAGACTGCGTTGTTCATGTACGTTCGCGAGCATGACAAAATAGTACAATCTGCGTGGATAACATCGACAGGAGACCTGGCTAACACGAACAGCATCACTAGCAAATGTACACTAGCCACGAAGACCATTCCTGTTTTGTAATATCAGATACTCAGTGATTAGATCGGAAGATTTCCTCCCTTACAGATACACGACGAGGTCGTCCCAGCAAAACCATGAGCAGAACCATTTCACACGTTCGAAGAAAAACGAAAAATCAATCAAAGAATTGCAAAAGATGTGCTTGGCATCCTCAGACAGCGGAGTATGGGCAACGCTATCAATCGCACAAAGCTCTTCATCGATATCGCAAATCTCTTCGCCGATAACGCAGATTACCCTGTGATCGATTCTAAGCGGTGAAATACAGGGTTGCGTATGGACCAAGCATAGCCAACGAATGTTGCTCTGGGACTGTCAAAAGGCGCACGATACGGTGGATCGATATATTTGTAAGAATCTATACGCCTGTTCAAGTTTGACGACTGGTTTGTCGATCTCGTCAGCCGCATTCACACAGGCACGTCGGCCAGCTCTGTAGTGAATGGCTGTCAGTCTCAGGCTTTACCGGTAAGCCCAGAAAATACGGCAGTGGTGTACGCTAGCGCCACTGCTATTTCTCTTAGTGGTCGAGATGATGGAACTAGCCCTACGGCACGATACATCTCCAAAGAGGCTGGATGCACCTGGGCTGAAAAATTCTAAAATAAAATATCAAAATAAAATATTCGTAAACTTTTTTAATAGCAAGAAAAAACACACCTTTTTCTGCATTCGTTGACGACTCCACCCTCTTCTTTGCAAAAGCTGGACAAATTCCGCACGCTTTCAGCATTATCACGCTTTTAGGGCACTGTCGGGCTTGCATGTAGCGGAGCTACACAGCTCCTTAAGTCAGAGGAAGACTTAGCCTTCAACGAGCAACTTAGTTCTAAAGAGCTAGACTCAATGATTCAACAAGCGTAAAGCTATGGTTCTCGTTCCAGGGGACCAAACGATTTAGTGAATCGACAGCACTTAGTGATCAAGAGTAACTAGCTACCTCAAGCAGGAAGCAGGTGTTGCTAACTCTTAGCGATCAGTGATCAACGACCAAAGACGCCTCGCAAGCCATGTGTCTTTAAGATCAAAAGGGGAACTGACTTTTATTTACATTTAAACCTATAGAATAACTTAATCCTAATATCCCCTAATCTAGACACTTACGTCCTAAGTTATTACAACTAAGATCTCTCCTATCTGGTGGCTGACACCATTCAGCCCCTACAATCCGGTAAGATATTCGATATCTCTTCCAGTGGAATATCATCAGTGTGTCTAAGACACAAAGTACCAGGTACCCAACTACGTGTAACCCCTATACATCCTCCCCTACCAGACTGACGTTTACCTCAATTTTAATTGTACCTTGTTCCAATCGAACGTTCTCTTCGAAAATTGTTCTCTCACGAGGTCAGTGCACGAGCGGTTCTTTACGGCAACGTAAAGCTCTAACACGATTGTCCTCATCACGTCCTCATCACGAACCAGTCAAAGACTCTCAGTAATTACCTCAAAATGAGGGAGGTTTGGACTATGATAGCGATATCAGTGTCCCGGATGATGCAAATACGATGTCCGATGCACTCATGTCTGACGTACAACCTTGTCTTGCCCCTTTCCGTACCCTAAACGTGATGATGAGATTTCTCCTTTGGCGCCGCGCTCAATTCCCGGTTCGGATGATAACATTATCACGAACTCGCTCGATGAGCAACAACAAGTAATCCTTGAAGAAGGAGATAGCACTCGGCACCAAGCAAAAATGGTCGCAACCCTCGAGCACCAACGTGACTATGTGTTCACTTCACCCAGTGTGGAGGAACGCTTACGTCAAGCGGTCGGCCAATCGTTAGCAACGTGGATCATCGGCCACAGGCGCACGTCTCCCGAGGAGGTGGGGAGCGGACAGGCACTTCGCGAGAGGTACCTGGAACCTCACCTAACTACACAAGGTCAATACAAGGCACGCCCTGATATGCAAGCACGTAATGCACCGGTCCCACCGATTAAGGGTATACTTATTCTCTTGTCTGCAGGCGAAACAGAGAGCGGAGAAGACAATGCCTTCGTCCGCTGGGTGCACCGCATACGTCGCCTTAGCAGTATGTCTGATCTTAGAGCTAGTGCAAATGTGGCTGATGTGCGTCTCGAACGCAAGTTTTGGTATGACTATGCCAAGCTTATGGCTAGTTGCCAATTGCGTAATTATGCGCGAAACGATTTGGCTACTACATTAGCCGCAAGTGTTTGTAAAACTATGACCTCCAACCCGCCAATCCACACCTCAAGTAATGGGAAACAGCTTCGTTTTTAAGATGAACTTCGCCGTGATGTTCAAAAACATCCACAGCACCAGAAAAATCTTGCCATAGGGGTACCTCGCATTCCCATGAGCTTTAAGACTTAGGGTACCCGCGCCAATTTACCAGTTATTTGTATCGGCCATGACTACGACGTCATTCCAGTTGCCTCTCAACATGAAACTGACGACACCCATGCTCATCGAGCAGCATCAGTGATGGCCAGTGTACCGGTGGCAGTCCACGAGAAATTGGTTCTCGAGGTGACAGGTCTTCAAGAGATCCTGGGTAGGACCCGATGCATGCTTGGTGTGATGCAGAGCCGCCTTCAGGCGATGGAGCGTGCCCAAACTCGGAGCGAGGCTCAGTTGGACTTGCTGATTCGCTTGCAGCAATTCGGGGCACTGACCTCGTCGTCGGCGCCAGCGCCTTAAAGTTCAAATGGGAAGGTACCCGGTACGCCTTAAGTAAGCCTACGTAGAACACAGGGTGTGTGCGCAATTTGCGTGGAAGGTGAGCGTATAAGCAAGGCTCTTCTTGGCAGTGACCGTAAACGGTTCAAAGAAACGTGGAAGCAATTTTGTCTTGAAGACAGCAGACGCTACAATTGTATGTAGATTTTCAACATCGAGTAATGCTTGGTCTCCAAACTAATAACTAATTATACAGTTTGTGCCTTTGGCATCAGCTTTTTGTTTTTGTTGATCTTGGATATCATCCATTGCGTCGTAAGACATTCAATCGCGTTGCGAGAAACCCGCCTACCTGTTTAAACATGTCGTAAGACATTTAGTCGCGTTGCGAGAAACCCGCCTACCTGTTTTAAGCAGAAGCAGGGCTGATATTGGCAAGCTGATCGGCAACCCCTCCCCCACCAAGCCTTAAACCACAGAGTGGTAGCGTTAACGATACGCGAGAATGGGTGCACCCGTTTAAGTAAAACGGAGTAAAGCCTGTGGAGACATGAACAGCATCGTTCAACGAAATTTCAACAACAGGAAGCATTGAGCTCCAAAGCCGTGGTGTATCAGCGCAAACACTACGCAAAATGTCATTAATGACGCGAATAATACGCTCAGTTTGACCATCGGACTGCGGATAATCCGCCGTGGACATGTTTAATAGGGTGACAAGCACCTTGAAGATTGCCTTCCTAACTTCGTAGTAAAGCGGGAGTATCTACCAGAGACAATTGTCACAGGCAAACCATGTTGTCGAAACAACGATCGATAAAAAGCTTTGCCGTGCCTTCAGCATCGATCTTATTTAACACAGCCGCTAAATGAGCCGTCTTATTCAAACGGTCAAGCAACTAGCACAAGACCAGTATTGCCTTCCGAATCTTTTGGTATACCGAACACAAAATCCATACTCACGGACTCTAAACACCCAAAAGGTACATGCAGACTAGCCAGTGGCGCAGCCGCATGTACTGAGGGTTTGACCCGTTGACACGTTTCTCACGTACGCACATAGGCGCTCACGCATTTGTACATCTTGGGTCACCAATAAGCCTAGCTCACTGATCCATAAGGTCTTCTCACGACAGAGGTGACCGCTTAAAGCAGTATCATGTGCCTCATAGAGAAATCGGTACTTTAGCTCCTCAATCATGAGGGACAGCAATACGAGGGGTAACCTCAATATTCGTGAGATAGCACAACAGGCCATTATCAATAGAATATCGATGTAGCCTTGCACGTAAACGTGCCGACAATTAATTGTCTCAGTCTATAAGGACCTCGATCACAAGAGCCCTTAGCAAAGCTACATACTGTTCTTCCTTGGAATGAGCCGCGCAAATTAAGTCAGGGACTGATAACGAAAGTGTCGTTACATGAGCAAGCTCATAGTCTGGTCGGCGCGATAGCTCATCAGCCAAGGCATCTTGTATTCCTGGCTTACACCTCAACTCAAAGTTATATTCTACAGAAAAGGAAAGCCAACGAGCCAATCTCTGAGAGAAATCCGGCGACTGTGTCGCAGTGCGCAATGACGCATGATCTGTACAGATCACAAAAGGCTTTGACTCAAGCAGATGTACGCTGAATATGACTAGAGCATACTTCATAGCAACTTATTCTTTCTCACGAACTAAAGAGTTCTTTACAGCGGGTTTAAGCTGGCAAGAATCAAACGCAATGACGCGCTCGTGTCCATCAACATCTGTTTTTAAGTGAGCAACTATCATTGAAAAAGTCAGATGCATCACAGACGACACTGAAGGCCTCATCAGGATCAGTCAAAACTCATATTGGCGCATGGAGGGGACTCTCCTTAACAGCTTTTAAAGCATCGTGCTCGGTATAACCCCAACACCAATCCACATCCATAATGAAAAGACTGGAAAATGGGCCAGTCCATGTCTGCGTAATTCGCACTCTACCTTATGCAAGTAATAAGCAAGGCAAAGCCACTTACTTAAGTCCTTTTGATTCTTAGGAACCGGCCAACGGACTTTGGCCATTACCTTAGCGGGGTCCACTCTAAGGCCTCGCTTCCCAAGAAGCACCCCATAAAGAGAATCTCTTCTGCACCAAAGGTGCACTTAGATGCTTTAGCTTACATATATTTGTGCGCATGCACTCGAGCACCGTTCGTAAATGGTCAATATGGTTATCCACATCTAATCGACCATTCGTTGCACTAGTAAAAACAAAGATATCGATTTAGTAAGTTTGTGCGTAACCTCGATGAGGTCGGAACAGTTGCGTCACCAGACAGTTAAAAGTAGCCGCTGCGTTTGACAGCCCTTGTGGCAAAAATAGACACTCCCTAGAGCATACCGCTTGGAGTACTTACCGCAGTTGGATAAATATCACTCGCTCGCATGAGGAGCTGGTAATAACCGTCGGCTCAGTCGAGTGCACTGTTACAACTTACATCCAAACATAATGTTCTGAAGGACATCCTTTTTTAAATTGGCGTTTGCGCCTATTTAATGGCTGCATTAATTTTATTATAAGCATGCAAAATGCGTCACTTGCCATTTGGCTTCTTGACGCAAAATGTCGGTGTTAAATGGGGAGATTTACTCTCACGAACCATTCCAGCCGCGTACTTAGCACGAAAGAACTCGTCAATGAAGTCACACTGTTCCTTAGGCAAAGGCCACTGCCGTGTTACGCAGTATTTAAGTTCCTAAAACTTAGTCACAGTTCGTGACCTACACCTCTATCAGGTGGTAAGACCGACGGTGGGTTGTGACACACCACATCTTGAAATTCCTCAACCAATGGATACAATGGATCAAAAGGATCTTTGAGGGTCGAAGATCCTTTTTGCGCACTGTGTGTCCGCCTTAGCGTCCTCTAGGATAGGCTCATCCATTAATGAGAACGAGTTCAACTCAAAATCGGGTCTAATAACCACTAATTCGGATAATCTTTTTGCCTGAAAGGCCTAGCTAGACTCGCCATCAGACAGCTCGTCTAGCTCACACAACGCATCCAAGGATGGAAGGGTTTTAAGGATAACATTGCCTTCAACCTGACAGGTAACTTCATTCACAAGCGTATAGAGTGCATTACTATTATCACACAGTGACTGTGTGGACGCCTGGCGCTGAACAGTTGCCACCTGGCGTCCAAGTCGTCTCTTGGAGACCTTACACCCCTTAGGGGTCGGGACACTACTTTCTCCTTTATTACTACCAATAGTAGTGCGCTCTGTACGAGGCCCATTTCTTGACCGACATCCGGTAAAGAATTACATAACTAAAACTCTTCACCCAGTGGATTTCCACGTGCCACTCCACGTACATTATTCGGGATGAGCCCCAAACTGAACGGCGTTTCTCTAAAAAAATGTATTTACCGACAGTAAGTGTGGTGCCTTCACTTCCGACCAAATTCGGTGAATTCTCACGTGCCACCTCACAAACATCAAAGGAATCACATCCTTGATAATCCGGCCATAGGCCAACTATGCTTTCAGCATGCAGTGACTCGTTATCGCAACGAGTTACACTCAATGGAGGACGTGCCGCATCACTCATTTTCAACGAGCTACGCTCGGAATCTATGTTTACAACTATTAAAGTTAGACAAATCAGACATTCCAATGTCCAGCACATTACGATCCTCTACCAAAGGCTCGCGCCAGTAGTGCTTCTGTTGCCTAGCGAAGGTGGGTTGATGACTCTCCAAAACTTCACTAGGAACGTCGTGCGTGGCGCCTAAGGTCTTAGAACTCCAATTAATCCATGGCTCATGGCTTTCAAGCCAAGAAATGCCAAGGATGAGATCATATCTCAAGTACAAATTCAGGAAAAGATAGCGCTCAATGCTGTCAAAGTCTAAAAAACTGTATTTCTAAGTTTATTGGAACTTTAGGCACAGTCACACGACTTCCTGTCGCTAAACGAACCATGATAGAGTCAACCTTATGCGCTGTAAGCGCTTTAGCATAACGTTGACTTCCCTAAAGGGAACGACGTCGACCAAAATTGCAAGACGCTCCAGAGTCGATCAATATTGACCAGGCCTCTTAAAGCCATTATTTTTTCGTTTCGGCGACTAACAATCCAGACTTGTATTCACGCTCCGTACCAAAAGGTATGGAGCTCTTTGGGCTAAGCTCTGTTTAACTTTACCTCCTAAATGTGTAACAGAGCCCATTTCCTGCCCAGTAGGCGCGGGCGGCCTACTGGGCATCGGCATTTCCCCGTGCCACGCCAGCCGCCTGGCTCGGGGTAGAGTGTTGGCTTGTAGCCTGACGCTGTATGCGCAAAGGGCAACCATGCCGCAGGTGTTTAGCGCTTCCACACGTAAAACATCGTCGTACGACGTGTTGCTGGTCATCAGCTTGAAGCTCAACTTCACCTTCACCTTCAGCATAGCTGAGATCCGTTGGTTTCGGCCTATTAGAAGCCGGACCACTCGTGGAGTTTGCTCTTGCAGAGCTAGCGTTGTACCCACTCCAGCCAAGCCTGGCCGACTTGAAGTTATCCTCAGCATGAAGAAAAAAATATCACGGACTCTTCAAAAGTAGAGGGAAAGGGAACCCGAACAACTTCGGTTCTGGCAATGGCAGTACGAAGACCTTCCATGAGGATTTTCACATGAACTGCCTTAATCAGAGGGCCAGACTGCATTGCAGCCGTGAGATTCTCTCAACTCTTGAACACAGTCCGATGATTCATTCATACCCTATTCGGGTAGCCAAAAAGGCCTTAACGCACGCAGTAATCTTGTTAAGGTGGTGGGAATATTCCTGTAACAGGTGAGACGTTAGCGACTCCCAGGTGGGGAATGCTTAGTCAATTGACGTGCTGCACGTCAAAGCCCATTCTATAGCTCTTCCATCAATCTCTGAGATAGCTAGCGAGACCTGTTGATGGTCAAGCTTGATCAGGCCTGATCTCATGGCCATCTCAATCTCACGGATCGAGAGGATGAGGTCTTCACCATCCTTACCGGAATAAATCTTAGCT